AGAGAGACCAGAGAGAGACCAGAGAGAGACCAGAAGAGAGACCAGAGAGAGACCAGAGAGAGACCAGAGAGAGAGACCAGAGAGAGAGACCACAGAGAGACCAGAGAGAGAGAGACCAGAGAGAGACCAGAGAGAGACCAGAGAGAGAACAGAAAGAGACCAGAGAGAGACCAGAGAGAGAGACCAGAGAGAGAGACCAGAGAGACCAGAGAGAGACCAGAGAGAGAACAGAAAGGGACCAGAGAGAGACCAGAGGGAGACCAGAGAGAGACCAGAGAGAGACCAGAGAGAGACCAGAGAGAGACCAGAGAGAGAGACCAGAGAGGGACAAGAGAGAGAACAGAAAGAGACCAGAGAGAGACCAGAGGGAGACCAGAGAGAGACCAGAGAGAGACCAAAGAGAGACCAGAAAGAGACCAGAGAGAGAGACCAGAGAGAGACCAGAGAGAGAGACCAGAGAGAGACCAGAGAGAGAGACCAGAGAGAGAGACCAGAGAGAGAGACCAGAGAGAGACCAAAGAGAGAGAGACCAAAGAGACCAGAGAGACCAGAGAGAGAGAGACCAGAGAGAGACCAGAGAGAGAACAGAAAGAGACCAGAGAGAGACCAGAGAGAGACCAGAGAGAGAGACCAGAGAGAGACCAGAGAGAGAGAGACCAGAGAGTCCAGAGAGAGACCAGAGAGAGAACAGAAAGAGACCAGAGAGAGACCAGAGAGAGACCAGAGAGAGACCAGAGAGAGACCAGAGAGAGACCAGAGACAGACCAGAGAGAGACCAGAGAGAGAGACCAAAGAGAGACCAGAGAGAGACCAGAGAGAGACCAGAGAGAGACCAGAGAGAGACCAGAGAGAGACCAGAGAGAGACCAGAGAGAGACCAGAGAGAGACCAGAGAGAGACCAGAGAGAGAGACCAGAGAGAGACCAGAGAGAGACCAGGGAGAGACCAGAGAGAGACCTAACGACAGAAACACATTGAACTATAGCGACAGAAGCAACTCTTTTAGAGCCAGAACTAGACACAAGGATTTATTATAGTTCTGCGGGTCTGAAAGTTACGTACCCCAGCTTTAACGCGGGGGTTATTATTGTCTGTTCTGGAGCGGGGCACAGATGGCCCCATGTGCCCAGGGACCAGGGCCCTCAGCTGGGCTTTGTCTGAGCCCGAGTCCCTCTGTCCCAGCTCATTATCTGAAGAGACTTATGCAAATGTGTCATGGATCAGTCAGTCCCAGACCCAGACTTTCTGGTCCCTCTCTGGTCTCTCTCTGGTCTCTCTCTGGTCTCTCTCTGGTCTCTCTCTGGTCTCTCTCTCTGGTCTCTCTCTCTGGTCTCTCTCTGGTCTCTCTCTGGTCTCTCTCTGGTCTCTCTCTCTGGTCTCTCTCTGGTCTCTCTCTGGTCTCTCTGGTCTCTCTGGTCTCTCTGGTCTCTCTGGTCTCTCTCTGGTCTCTCTCTGGTCTCTCTGGTCTCTCTCTGGTCTCTCTCTGGTCTCTCTCTGGTCTCTCTCTCTGGTCTCTCTCTGGCCTCTCTCTCTGGTCTCTCTCTGGTCTCTCTCTGGTCTCTCTCTCTGGTCTCTCTCTGGTCTCTTTCTGGTCTCTCTCTGGTCTCTCTGGTCCCTCTCTGGTCTCTCTCTGGTGTATCTCTGGTCTCTCTCTGGTCTCTGGTCTCTCTCTGGTCTGTCTCTCTGACAGGTCACACTGAGCCGGGAGGGCGTCAGGGTCAGAGGGCGAGCTGATCTCTGGGCACAAGAACAGCCCCAGGGCAGCTGCGACCACAGCAGTGACGACAGAGACCAGAGAGGGACCAGAGAGAGACCAGAGAGAGACCAGAGAGAGACCAGAGAGAGAGACCAGAGAGAGCAGAAAGAGACCAGAGAGAGACCAGAGAGAGAGACCAGAGAGAGAGACCAGAGAGAGCACAAAGAGACCAGAGAGAGACCAGAGAGAGACCAGAGAGAGAGACCAGAGAGAGCAGAAAGAGACCAGAGAGAGACCAGAGAGAGAGACCAGAGAGAAAGACCAGAGAGAGAGCAGAGAGAGACCAGAGAGAGACCAGAGAGAGACCAGAGAGAGACCAGAGAGAGACCAGAGAGAGAGACCAGAGAGAGACCAGAGAGAGACCAGAGAGAGACCAGAGAGAGACCAGAGAGAGACCAGAGACAGACCAGAGAGAGACCAGAGAGAGAGACCAGAGAGAGAGCAGAGAGAGACCAGAGAGAGACCAGAGAGAGACCAGAGAGACCAGAGAGACCAGAGAGAGCAGAAAGAGACCAGAGAGAGACCAGAGAGAGAGCAGAGAGAGACCAGAGAGAGACCAGAGAGACCAGAGAGAGAGACCAGAGAGAGACCAGAGAGAGACCAGAGAGAGACCAGAGAGAGACCAGAGAGAGACCAGAGACAGACCAGAGAGAGACCAGAGAGAGAGACCAGAGAGAGAGCAGAGAGAGACCAGAGAGAGACCAGAGAGAGAGACCAGAGAGAGACCAGAGAGAGACCAGAGAGACCAGAGAGAGAGAGACCAGAGAGAGCAGAAAGAGACCAGAGAGAGACCAGAGAGAGAGACCAGAGAGAGAGACCAGAGAGAGCAGAAAGAGACCAGAGAGAGCCAGAGAGAGACCAGAGAGAGACCAGAGAGAGAGAGACCAGAGAGAGACCAGAGTTAGGACCTGAGACTAGCCTGAGGACCAGAGAGAGACCAGAGTTAGGACCTGAGACTAGGCTGAGGACCAGAGAGAGACCAGAGAGAGACCAGAGAGACCAGAGAGAGACCAGAGAGAGAGACAGAGAGAGACCAGAGAGAGACCAGAGAGAGACCAGAGAGAGACCAGAGAGAGACCAGAGAGAGAGACCAGAGAGAGACCAGAGAGAGAGACCAGAGAGAGCAGAAAGAGACCAGAGAGAGACCAGAGAGAGAGACCAGAGAGAGACCAGAGAGAGACCAGAGAGAGACCAGAGAGAGAGACCAGAGAGAGCAGAAGAGGAGAGAGAGAAAGAGCCAGAGAGAGACCAGAGAGACCGAGACCAGAGAGAGAGACCAGAGAGAGCAGACCAAGAGACCAGAGAGAGACCAGAGAGAGAGACCAGAGAGAGACCAGAGAGAGACCAGAGAGACCAGAGAGAGAGACCAGAGAGAGAGACCAGAGAGAGACCAGAGAGAGACCAGAGAGAGACCAGAGAGAGAGACCAGAGAGAGACCAGAGAGAGAGACCAGAGAGAGCAGAAAGAGACCAGAGAGAGACCAGAGAGAGAGCAGAGAGAGACCAGAGAGAGACCAGAGAGAGACAGAGAGAGACCAGAGAGAGACCAGAGAGAGACCAGAGAGAGACCAGAGAGAGAGAAGAGAGAGACCAGAGAGAGACCAGAGAGAGACCAGAGAGAGACCAGAGAGAGAGACAGAGAGAGACCAGAGAGAGACCAGAGAGAGACCAGAGAGACCAGAGAGAGACCAGAGAGAGACCAGAGAGAGACCAGAGACTAGCCTGAGGACCAGAGAGAGACCAGAGTTAGGACCTGAGACTAGCCTGAGGACCAGAGTTAGGACCTAAGATTAGCCTGAGGACCAGAGAGAGACCAGAGTTAGGACCTGAGACTAGGCTGAGGACCAGAGAGAGACCAGAGTTAGGACCTGAGACTAGGCTGAGGACCAGAGAGAGACCAGAGTTAGGACCTGAGACTAGCCTGAGGACCAGAGAGAGACCAGAGTTAGGACCTGAGACTAGCCTGAGGACCAGAGAGAGACCAGAGTTAGGACCAGAGAGAGAGCCTGAGGACCAGAGAGAGACCAGAGTTAGGACCTGAGACTAGCCTGAGGACCAGAGTTAGGACCTAAGATTAGCCTGAGGACCAGAGAGAGACCAGAGTTAGGACCTGAGACTAGGCTGAGGACCAGAGAGAGACCAGAGAGGACCAGAGACAGAGGACCAGAGAGAGACCAGAGAGAGGACCTGAGAGAGCCGAGGACCAGAGAGAGACCAGAGTTAGGACCAGAGAGAGACCTGAGGGAACCAGAGAGAGACCAAGAGAGCCTGAGGACCAGAGAGAGACCAGAGTTAGGACCTGAGACTAGGCTGAGGACCAGAGAGAGACCAGAGTTAGGACCTGAGACTAGGCTGAGGACCAGAGAGAGACCAGAGTTAGGAACTGAGACTAGGCTGAGGACCAGAGAGAGACCAGAGTTAGGACCTGAGACTAGCCTGAGGACCAGAGAGAGACCAGAGTTAGGACCTGAGACTAGCCTGAGGACCAGAGTTAGGACCTAAGATTAGCCTGAGGACCAGAGAGAGACCAGAGTTAGGACCTGAGACTAGCCTGAGGACCAGAGTTAGGACCTAAGATTAGCCTGAGGACCAGAGAGAGACCAGAGTTAGGACCTGAGACTAGGCTGAGGACCAGAGAGAGACCAGAGTTAGAGACCTGAGACTAGCCTGAGGACCAGAGAGAGACCAGAGTTAGGACCTGAGAGAGCCTGAGGACCAGAGAGAGACCAGAGAGAGAGACAGAGAGAGACCAGAGTTAGACCTAAGAGAGCCTGAGGACCAGAGAGAGACCAGAGTTAGGACCTGAGACTAGCCTGAGGACCAGAGTTAGGACCTAAGATTAGCCTGAGGACCAGAGAGAGACCAGAGTTAGGACCTGAGACTAGGCTGAGGACCAGAGCGAGACCAGAGTTAGGACCTGAGACTAGCCTGAGGACCAGAGTTAGGACCTAAGATTAGCCTGAGGACCAGAGAGAGACCAGAGTTAGGACCTAAGATTAGCCTGAGGACCAGAGAGAGACCAGAGTTAGGACCTGAGACTAGCCTGAGGACCAGAGTTAGGACCTAAGATTAGCCTGAGGACCAGAGAGAGACCAGAGTTAGGATCTGAGACTAGCCTGAGGACCAGAGTCAGGACCTAAGATTAGCCTGAGGACCAGAGAGAGACCAGAGTTAGGATCTGAGACTAGCCTGAGGACCAGAGTCAGGACCTGAGACTAGCCTGAGGACCAGAGTTAGGACCTGAGACTAGCCTGAGGACCAGTGTGCGTCTCTCTCACCCGGCACAAACACGGTCTCCCCGGGTCTCTGCAGGATCTCCAGCGGTCTGAACTCTTTGGGCCAGCTCGGCTCCTGTGTTCGGGGGTAGATGACCGTGAACCAGGTGATGGCCTCGTCCTGCTGGTTCCCTCCGTCCTCGCGGGTCACTTTGATCAGCTCTCGGGGCGTGTGTGTGGGGAAGAGGCACCAGCGCTTATGGCCCTGCACCAGAGCGTTCCAAGCTGAGGTCCCCAGCGGGTCGATGTGGATCCCAGTGCCGGAGCGAGAAGGACCCATCACGAACCATCTGAGGAGAGAGCACAGGACTGAAAACCGGACTAGATACTGAATACTTCCAAACTTCACCAAAATAACACCAAAAACCCAGCCTCTAAAACAGATGCTTCTATGACTTGTTCACTCAGACCAAAGAGTCAAATAGTGACTCCCAGGGCTCACTTTTACTATAAAGATGGCATGTTCAAGATGAAAGCCACATGTTGTGGTCTGAGTATACAAGATCTGTTGGACATGTGTTACTTACGAGACTAAAGTTACGTACTCCAGCTTATTTCTGACCGGTGGGCGGCCTCCTCTCTCTCTCTGTGTAGTCCCTCCTCTCACCTGTAGGGCGGCCTCCTCTCTCTCTCTGTGTAGTCCCTCCTCTCACCTGTAGGGCGGCCTCCTCTCTCTCTGTGTATGTGTGTAGTCCCTCCCCTCACCTGTAGGGCGGCCTCCTCTCTCTCTCTCTGTGTGTGTAGTCCCTCCTCTCACCTGTAGGGCGGCCTCCTCTCTCTCTGTGTGTGTAGTCCCTCCTCTCACCTGTAGGGCGGCCTCCTCTCTCTCTGTGTGTGTGTGTAGTCCCTCCTCTCACCTGTAGGGCGGCCTCCTCTCTCTCTGTGTGTGTAGTCCCTCCTCTCACCTGTAGGGCGGCCTCCTCTCTCTCTGTGTGTGTAGTCCCTCCTCTCACCTGTAGGGCGGCCTCCTCTCTCTCTGTGTATGTGTGTAGTCCCTCCTCTCACCTGTAGGGCGGCCTCCTCTCTCTCTGTGTGTGTAGTCCCTCCTCTCACCTGTAGGGCGGCCTCCTCTCTCTCTGTGTGTGTAGTCCCTCCTCTCACCTGTAGGGCGGCCTCCTCTCTCTCTGTGTGTGTAGTCCCTCCTCTCACCTGTAGGGCGGCCTCCTCTCTCTCTGTGTATGTGTGTAGTCCCTCCTCTCACCTGTAGGGCGGCCTCCTCTCTCTCTCTCTGTGTGTAGTCCCTCCTCTCACCTGTAGGTCTCTGTGTGTAGTCCCTCCTCTCACCTGTAGGGCGGCCTCCTCTCTCTCTCTCTCTGTGTAGTTCCTCCTCTCACCTGTAGGGCGGCCTCTCTCTCTCTCTCTGTGTAGTTCCTCCTCTCACCTGTAGGGCGGCCTCCTCTCTCTCTCTCTCTCTGTAGTTCCTCCTCTCACCTGTAGGGCGGCCTCTCTCTCTCTGTAGTTCCTCCTCTCACCTGTAGGGCGGCCTCTCTCTCTCTGTAGTTCCTCCTCTCACCTGTAGGGCGGCCTCTCTCTCTCTCTCTGTGTAGTTCCTCCCCTCACCTGTAGGTCTCTGTGTGTAGTTCCTCCTCTCACCTGTAGGGCGGCCTCCTCTCTCTCTCTATGTAGTTCCTCCTCTCACCTGTAGGGCGGCCTCCTCTCTCTATGTAGTTCCTCCTCTCACCTGTAGGGCGGCCTCCTCTCTCTATGTAGTTCCTCCTCTCACCTGTAGGGCGGCCTCCTCTTCTCCCCGGCGAACTGGAACAGGTCGTCGGTGAAGAACAAGGGCACGCTGTAGTCGTCCAGCAGCTTGCGGCGCTTGGCGTGCTCGCCGTAGCTGCTGTCAAAGATGTAGAGCGGGGAGTCGTCGCGTGTGCTCTCCAGATACTCCACGTAGTACTTCATCTTCATCTTCACAGAGTAACCGTCATTGTCCTCGCCGCACTTGAACTTCTGGTTGCGGTACTTCCTCTTGAGGCGCTCCAGAGTCCACTTGTCCTTAGCGGGCCACGCCTCCTGACAGTTCAGCAGCACCACGGGTTTGTACGGCCTCTCGAAGCGTGCGATGAACTCCTCCGGGCTGATGCGTGCCGCGTCTGCGCGCTCCACGTTATCCTGACAGATAAGGTCAACTTTGTTATCGGTTTTAAAGATAGTTTAAGCTTGTCACCTCGATATGTTTGGTTGAAACTTGGAGACATTGACATTAGACTGGAAGAGAACGAGCCTTGGGTAACTGCCGGACGGTGAAAATACTGATGTTAAACTGGCCCTTAGCATTAGAAAGGTTTGGGACCGTTGTTATGGAGATAGTTATAAGATTGTTTCTGCTGTTTCTGCACACGCTCAGAACAAAGATAAACACCCCCAGTGCGCAGAGGGATGAGGACCTCAGGGTGCGAGATACAAAGCTCACGATAACGATTATGATGCAGCAACTATCGATATATTGGTCAGAAATATACATACAATAATTTATGTCATAAATAAAAGAATAATATTAGGTGAAAAAATACACTTTATTTTAAGATAAATGGATAAAGTGTCATGTGTAACATTAAGGTGGACAAGCGAAAATGCCTTTTAACCTGCACATTTTAGTAAAAATACTGCCTTTTTTATATAACAAAATAAGTCTTACATCCAATAAAATCAATATGAACATTCTACAGAATTAAAAAAATGTTTTGGACAAGTTTTATTGAAATCAGTCTCAGACAAAAAGCTGAGAGAAAGAGGTGCAACAAGTGCATCCTGTTTTGAAAACATCCAGAGGCAGCGCTGGTGCCCCCTGCTGGTGGCTTTGGGTGAGAAAGTATCACGATACATCACCATATCGATATATCGTCTCCTACGCTATTGTCACCACTCAAAATTATCACTCATCCCTAATTAACTATGTTTCAAAACAAAAGGATATTATTATAGACATCATGTCCACTGTTTTTTTTAATAAAGAATGTTTGGCCTTATTTAATAAAAAATAAACAAATCTTAGCAAAGTTTGCAAGTTAAATCAGACATTTGACCACATTACAGCAGCCTTAAACTTCATAGTTTATACTTGCAGTAAAACGTGTGGTTGAGGTAAATATACATAAGATTGCGAACACTTTTACTGTGTAAGTGAATTTGTTATATTGCATAATGTCCATGGCGTACGTGCCGATCTCAGGTTGCATCCCAATTCCGCAGAAATACCTCCCTCCTTCTCATTTTTTTAATAACAGATTTTGTTGCATTGCATTTTACTTGAGTAGAACTAAAAGCACATTCAAAATGTGTTCAGCTGAACTTAACAAAACCTGTAGCTTAAACACAAAGAGGTACAATGAAAAGGATGTATCTTTATGAATTCGGGCGCAGCCTCTCTCAGCAGGTTAGCATTAGCCACATTAGCTCCTCACCTTTACGCTGCGGTGTGACAGGTCAAAGGTGTCGTGGTACCCGTGTCTGACCCAGTCCCCAGAGTCCTTCAGTTCGGGTCTAGCGCTGCGCTTCGCTTCTTTGATCCGCTTCTTACTTTTGTGGTTCATGTCTGCTTCAAAGAGCACAGATTTGGTTAAACTGGTGTTTTTCAACCTTGCATAAGAATTTTATTCAGATTCGGTAAAACTTAAAGTCCCCAGTGTAAACTCGTCACCTAGGCAACAAGAGAGATTTATACAGTAATAGTATCACCAAGTATGCAAACACTGAAATACAACATAAATAGCTTTAATACATTAACATGTTAAAGAGATATTTGAAATGGACAGTCCTCCATGTACCTTCACACTTTTTAAGGCCTTAAATTGGGTTTATATGAGAAGCAAAACTTTTAAAACGCAGTTATCACCAGCAGCAGAGCCTTTAGCATTAGCACCATTAGCTCCCCGCGGCTGAGGCTGTTATGTAGCCGCACTAGCCTCGCTGCTTACCGGCGTCTGTCACCACTCCCACCGCCCTTTAGAGCCCGACCCCAGGTGAAACAGCGCTGCGGGGACCGTGTGGGACTCTACCCCGGGGTTTGGACACTTTTACGGTCACTTTAACTGGCGCTTCTCCAGTGAAACGGCGACTGAACACCGGAGGTAGCGCCGTTAGCTTCAGCTAGCTTGGCACGGAGCGCTGTAATACCTGGGGTTGCCAGATTGTGAGAGCAACAAGCGAAATGAGCGTGTATCTCCAATTTTATCGAATTTATCAACAGAATTCCAAATGTTTCTTCTTCTTTTGTAGTTTACCCATAAATACGTTTGATAAAAAAGTTAATATTGTTGTAATTGAGAGCTTTGAACCAGAGCGGCATTTTGGGCAAACATTTGATTAGTATATCAAAAGAAATTGATGAGCTCGCTGCCAAAAATACACATCAGAAATCGACCTCCACCACCCATTTGTTTCCACTTTATCCTTTGCGTTATCAGAAGAGAGGACTTTAAAACGGTGGCTTTGTGAATCAAAACACTATACAATGTGTTTTATATTTATGACCGAATTGAACTGAACCAAAACTAGGCTAAAAGTAAAAAGACCTCGCCTGATGGATGAGCTATTATTTGCATTATTACTATTAGGTTTATATCACAGTAGAGTGTTTTAAGTCTCGTCTTAAGACCCACTTTTACTCTTTGGCTTTTAACACTGTGTGAGTTTGTGGTCCTCTGTGTTTTTCTTTTATCTCTATTTATGGTTTTAATCTGTTTTATATATTTTTATTCTTTTATACTTGGTGAAGCTAAGGATAAGTTGTTATTTATTTTATACTTTTTTGTGCAGCACTTTGGAAACGTAACTGTTGTTTAAACGTGCTATATAAATAAAGTGGATTGGATTGGATATAAGAATACATTGTGTGGTAGTTTTGTTTCTGTGTTGCAAATGTCTGTGCAAAATATTCCTAACACTTTTGTGGAGTGAAGCGCGACATGGCAACCCTGTCTGTCAGCACTGTTTCACGCCCCTCTGAAAGACAAGACCGCTGATTCGACAGAGCGTTTCCCGCCTGGTTTAAACACAGTTCTGATTGGCTAAGAACCGCCCATTTATTTTATTATGGCCTGGTCGCGGAAGTGGGTGTCCGGCGTGAACATGTGAAAACAAAGAAAGCAAAACATGAGAATAATAACAGGATAATAATAACAGTGACATATATGGAAACAACATGGCCGCAGAGGGAGCGCGGGGCTTGAGTCAAACACAAAAGGTTTTTACGTTTAAAGACGAAGAGGAATCTGTGACTGTGACCATCCCTGAGGTGACAGCACAAATTTAATGTTACCTTCTCAAAGCTGGTGTATGTAACTTTAGTCTTATAAGTAACATATACAATTGGTCCACCAAGAGTCTTGACAAAATATAGTGTAAAATCAGACCACAACATCAGACCATGGTTCATCTTAAGAGAATACATTTTATATTATGTGGAAGAAAGAGCCCTGTGAGTCAGTCTTTGACTCTTTGTGTTGTATGAAAGTTACGTACCCCAGCTTTAAAGACACATATTTCAGACTATGATGTAGCTGGAGACTTGGTAGATCTGGGGCCGGTCTTGTGCAGGTGTTGGACCCAGAGTTCGGCATGTACGTGTGGCCCTGTGCAGTGGTCCTGGCTCAGTTTGTGTGGAAGCGAAGAGGCGCCTTGAGGAACCGGACTGTTCTGGAGGTGAGTGGAAACAGGTTACCACACAAGAGCTGCAGAATAATATTTCTAACCCTGGGGTCTCTCTCTGGTCTCTCTCTGGTCCTTTTCTCTGGTTTCTCTCTGGTCTCTTTCTCTGATCTCTCCCTCTGGTCCTTCTCTCTCTCTGGTCTCTATCTCTGGTACCTCTCTCTCTCTCTGGTCTCTATCTCTGGTCCCTCTCTCTCGCTGGTCTCTATCTCTGGTCCCTCTCTATCTCTGGTCCCTTTCTCTCGCTGGTCTCTATCTCTGGTCCCTCTCTCTCGCTGGTCTCTATCTCTGGTCCCTCTCCCTCTCTGGTCTCTATCTCTGGTCCCTCTCCCTCTCTGGTCTCTCTCTCTGGTCTCAGATCGGAGCAGGCGTCTCTCTCCCTGGGGTCTTGGCGGCCCGGCTCGGGTCTCGGGTATTTCTCTCGGACTCTGCGCAGCTCCACAGTCTCCAGAACTGTGTCCAGAGCTGTCGAGCAAATGGCCTGGAGGTCCGAGAGGTCCGGTACGAAACACAGACACACAGAGACACACACACACGCACAGAGTGTAGTACAGTGTTTATGGTCACAGGTCAGAAGTCACGGCAGGGACAAAGGCCACGGTGGGGTCAGAGGTCGGCATCCTCCCGCTCTCCTGGGGTCACATGACTCCTGCTCTTCTGTCTCTGCCTCCAGTGGACGTCATCCTGGGGTCAGACGTCTTCTACAGCCCACAAGGTCCAATCTTCTGTTCTATTGTTCATCTACTACCACTGCTACTACTCCTATTACTACAGCTACTAATCCTAACAATAGGGCAAAAGTATAATAGCTGGTCTGGTCCCTGGTCTGGTCCTTTGTCTGGTTCCTAGTCCGGTCCTTGGTCTGGTACCTGGTCAGGTCCTTTATCTGGTCCCTTGTCTGTCCCTAGTCCGGTCCCTGGTTCTGTCCCTGATCCGGTACCTGGTCCGGTCCATGGTCTGGTCCCTGGTCTGGTCCTTTGTCTGGTTCCTGGTCCGGTCCTTGGTCTGGTACCTGGTCAGGTCCTTTATCTGGTCCCTTGTCTGTCCCTAGTCCGGTCCCTGGTTCTGTCCCTGATCCGGTACCTGGTCCGGTCCATGGTCTGGTCCCAGATCTGGTCCCTTGTCTGGTCTCTCGTCCGGTCTCTTGTGTGGTCTCTGGTCCGGTCCCTGGTCCGGTCCCTGGCCAGGTTGAGACAGACGCCATGTTCTGTTCTCATGTTTGTTGTTATTTCGTCTTCAGATTTCGAGAGCGTCCTGGTCACCGTGGCGATGCTCTTCAGGAAGAACCCTCTCGCTCAGTTTTGGACCACCTACCAAGTCCGCAGGTCAGCTCTAATCCTCCTGTGTGAGGAGTTACTTTTGTTTTGGTTCTAATCCTCATGGAGCCTGATTGGTCCATAGAGCTGCTGCAGTCCCTCTCATTGGCTGTCTGTTGCCTCCTCAGCTCTGATTGGTCCATAGAGTTGCTGCAGTCCCTCTCATTGGCTGTTTGTTGCCTCCTCAGCTCTGATTGGTCCATTGAGCTGCTCCTGTCTCGCTGGAGGATGTCCTGCGAGCTCGTTCCTCTTCGCTCCTTCGACGCCGACCGTCCGGAGCTGGCTGGGTCCCGTCTCCCCGGCAACCACAGCGTCCAGATGATGCTGGTCGCCCCTGACAACAGGAGGCGGTCTCTACAACGATAGCCTCGTGTGCACAGAGTGTGGCGTCAGATGAAGCACTGACACTGCTCATCATCCTCGGTGTGAGCGAGGGGGGGGAGCGTCATGCTGTGGGGCTGTGCCGTGACACAGGCAGTGTTGCTAAGACGGTTGCTAAGGCAAGCTCTGTGAATGAAGGCATCTGATTGGTCAATCCTTCTATGGCTCACATCTGGATTTACTAAAGACAACATCACAATGTGTTTGTAGAATCGTACCCCAAAATCAATCAATCCAATTTCATTTATAAACCGCTTTTCATTCAGAAGATGCAGAGAGTCGCCCTCAGCCACAGGGGACGACACAGGACCCAGAGGAGAGACGAAGCCGAGGCTCCAGGCCCCCACCAGGTCCACACCAGGCCCCCACCAGGTCCACACCAGACCCCCACCAGGTCCACACCAGACCCCCACCAGGTCCACACCAGACCCCCACCAGGTCCACACCAGACCCCCACCAGGCCTAAGAGACTTAAGGTGGTTTCACAAACTATGACCTCATGTACGAATACTTCTGCAACAATGTTTTTGAAATGAAAAATAACATTTATTTCACTTTATGGTTGTCTGTTACTTTTGTATTTCTGCTTTAAAGTCGGGCTCAAACCCACGACCCTCTGGATCAAAGGCCAATGCCCTACAACTGAGCTACTGTCACCCTAAGTAGACCTACTTCAGTCCTGCTTTAGACCTACTTCAGTCCTGCTTTAGTCCTACTTCAGCCCTGCTTTAGTCCTACTTCAGTCCTGCTTTAGACCTACTTCAGTCCTGCTTTAGACCTACTTCAGTCCTGCTTTAGACCTACTTCAGTCCTGCTTTAGACCTACTTCAGTCCTGCTTTAGACCTACTTCAGTCCTGCTTTAGACCTACTTCAGTCCTGCTTTAGACCTACTTCAGTCCTCCTTCAGTCCTCTTTTAGACCTACTTCAGTCCTGCTTTAGACCTACTTCAGTCCTGCTTTAGACCTACTTCAGTCCTGCTTTAGACCTACTTCAGTCCTGCTTTAGACCTACTTCAGTCCTGCTTCAGACCTCCTTCAGTCCTCTTTTAGACCTACTTCAGTCCTCTTTTAGACCTACTTCAGTCCTGCTTTAGTCCTACTTCAGTCCTGCTTTAGACCTAGTCCTGCTTTAGACCTACTTCAGTCCTGCTTTAGTCCTACTTCAGTCCTGTTTTAGACCTACTTCAGTCCTCTTTTAGACCTACTTCAGTCCTGCTTTAGTCCTACTTCAGTCCTGCTTTAGACCTACTTCAGTCCTGCTTTAGACCTACTTCAGTCCTGCTTTAGTCCTACTTCTTCAGTCCTGCTTTAGACCTACTTCAGTCCTGCTTTAGACCTACTTCAGTCCTGCTTTAGACCTACTTCAGTCCTGCTTTAGACCTCCTTCAGTCCTCTTTTAGACCTACTTCAGTCCTGCTTTAGTCCTACTTCAGTCCTGTTTTAGACCTACTTCAGTCCTCTTTTAGTCCTACTTCAGTCCTGCTTTAGTCCTACTTCAGTCCTGCTTTAGACCTAGTCCTGCTTTAGACCTACTTCAGTCCTGCTTTAGTCCTACTTCAGTCCTGTTTTAGACCTACTTCAGTCCTCTTTTAGACCTACTTCAGTCCTGCTTTAGTCCTACTTCAGTCCTGCTTTAGTCCTACTTCAGTCCTGCTTTAGACCTACTTCAGTCCTGCTTTAGACCTACTTCAGTCCTGCTTTAGACCTACTTCAGTCCTGCTTTAGACCTCCTTCAGTCCTCTTTTAGACCTACTTCAGTCCTGCTTTAGTCCTACTTCAGTCCTGTTTTAGACCTACTTCAGTCCTCTTTTAGACCTTCTTCAGTCCTGCTTTAGTCCTACTTCAGTCCTGCTTTAGACCTAGTCCTGCTTTAGACCTACTTCAGTCCTGCTTTAGTCCTACTTCAGTCCTGTTTTAGACCTACTTCAGTCCTCTTTTAGACCTACTTCAGTCCTGCTTTAGTCCTACTTCAGTCCTGCTTTAGACCTACTTCAGTCCTGCTTTAGACCTACTTCAGTCCTGCTTTAGACCTACTTCAGTCCTGCTTTAGTCCTACTTCAGTCCTGCTTTAGACCTACTTCAGTCCTGCTTTAGACCTACTTCAGTCCTGCTTTAGACCTACTTCAGTCCTGCTTTAGACCTACTTCAGTCCTGCTTTAGACCTCCTTCAGTCCTCTTTTAGACCTACTTCAGTCCTGCTTTAGTCCTTCTTCAGTCCTGTTTTAGACCTACTTCAGTCCTCTTTTAGACCTACTTCAGTCCTGCTTTAGTCCTACTTCAGTCCTGCTTTAGACCTAGTCCTGCTTTAGACCTACTTCAGTCCTGCTTTAGTCCTACTTTAGTCCTGTTTTAGACCTACTTCAGTCCTCTTTTAGTCCTACTTCAGTCCTGCTTTAGTCCTACTTCAGTCCTGCTTTAGACCTAGTCCTGCTTTAGACCTACTTCAGTCCTGCTTTAGTCCTACTTCAGTCCTGTTTTAGACCTACTTCAGTCCTCTTTTAGACCTACTTCAGTCCTGCTTTAGTCCTACTTCAGTCCTGCTTTAGTCCTACTTCAGTCCTGCTTTAGACCTACTTCAGTCCTGCTTTAGACCTACTTCAGTCCTGCTTTTAGACCTACTTCAGTCCTGCTTTAGACCTCCTTCAGTCCTCTTTTAGACCTACTTCAGTCCTGCTTTAGTCCTACTTCAGTCCTGTTTTAGACCTACTTCAGTCCTCTTTTAGACCTTCTTCAGTCCTGCTTTAGTCCTACTTCAGTCCTGCTTTAGACCTAGTCCTGCTTTAGACCTACTTCAGTCCTGCTTTAGTCCTACTTCAGTCCTGTTTTAGACCTACTTCAGTCCTCTTTTAGACCTACTTCAGTCCTGCTTTAGTCCTACTTCAGTCCTGCTTTAGACCTACTTCAGTCCTGCTTTAGACCTACTTCAGTCCTGCTTTAGACCTACTTCAGTCCTGCTTTAGTCCTACTTCAGTCCTGCTTTAGACCTACTTCAGTCCTGCTTTAGACCTACTTCAGTCCTGCTTTAGACCTACTTCAGTCCTGCTTTAGACCTACTTCAGTCCTGCTTTAGACCTCCTTCAGTCCTCTTTTAGACCTACTTCAGTCCTGCTTTAGTCCTTCTTCAGTCCTGTTTTAGACCTACTTCAGTCCTCTTTTAGACCTACTTCAGTCCTGCTTTAGTCCTACTTCAGTCCTGCTTTAGACCTAGTCCTGCTTTAGACCTACTTCAGTCCTGCTTTAGTCCTACTTTAGTCCTGTTTTAGACCTACTTCAGTCCTCTTTTAGACCTACTTCAGTCCTGCTTTAGTCCTACTTTAGTCGTTTTAGACCTACTTCAGTCCTCTTTTAGACCTACTTCAGTCCTGCTTTAGTCCTACTTCAGTCCTGTTTTAGACCTACTTCAGTCCTGCTTTAGACCTTCTTCAGTCCTGCTTTAGACCTACTTCAGTCCTGCTTTAGTCCTACTTCAGTCCTGCTTTAGACCTACTTCAGTCCTGCTTTAGACCTACTTCAGTCCTGCTTTAGACCTACTTCAGTCCTGCTTTAGACCTACTTCAGTCCTCTTTTAGACCTACTTCAGTCCTGCTTTAGTCCTACTTCAGTCCTGCTTTAGACCTAGTCCTGCTTTAGACCTACTTCAGTCTGCTTTAGTCCTACTTTAGTCCTGTTTTAGACCTACTTCAGTCCTCTTTTAGACCTACTTCAGTCCTGCTTTAGACCTACTTCAGTCCTGCTTTAGACCTACTTCAGTCCTGCTTTAGACCTCCTTCAGTCCTCTTTTAGACCTACTTCAGTCCTGCTTTAGTCCTACTTCAGTCCTGTTTTAGACCTACTTCAGTCCTCTTTTAGTCCTACTTCAGTCCTGCTTTAGTCCTACTTCAGTCCTGCTTTAGACCTAGTCCTGCTTTAGACCTACTTCAGTCCTGCTTTAGTCCTACTTCAGTCCTGTTTTAGACCTACTTCAGTCCTCTTTTAGACCTACTTCAGTCCTGCTTTAGTCCTACTTCAGTCCTGCTTTAGTCCTACTTCAGTCCTGCTTTAGACCTACTTCAGTCCTGCTTTAGACCTACTTCAGTCCTGCTTTAGACCTACTTCAGTCCTGCTTTAGACCTCCTTCAGTCCTCTTTTAGACCTACTTCAGTCCTGCTTTAGTCCTACTTCAGTCCTGTTTTAGACCTACTTCAGTCCTCTTTTAGACCTTCTTCAGTCCTGCTTTAGTCCTACTTCAGTCCTGCTTTAGACCTACTTCAGTCCTGCTTTAGTCCTACTTCAGTCCTGTTTTAGACCTACTTCAGTCCTCTTTTAGACCTACTTCAGTCCTGCTTTAGTCCTACTTCAGTCCTGCTTTAGACCTACTTCAGTCCTGCTTTAGACCTACTTCAGTCCTGCTTTAGACCTACTTCAGTCCTGCTTTAGTCCTACTTCAGTCCTGCTTTAGACCTACTTCAGTCCTGCTTTAGACCTACTTCAGTCCTGCTTTAGACCTACTTCAGTCCTGCTTTAGACCTACTTCAGTCCTGCTTTAGACCTCCTTCAGTCCTCTTTTAGACCTACTTCAGTCCTGCTTTAGTCCTTCTTCAGTCCTGTTTTAGACCTACTTCAGTCCTCTTTTAGACCTACTTCAGTCCTGCTTTAGTCCTACTTCAGTCCTGCTTTAGACCTAGTCCTGCTTTAGACCTACTTCAGTCCTGCTTTAGTCCTACTTTAGTCCTGTTTTAGACCTACTTCAGTCCCCTTTTAGACCTACTTCAGTCCTGCTTTAGTCCTACTTTAGTCGTTTTAGACCTACTTCAGTCCTCTTTTAGACCTACTTCAGTCCTGCTTTAGTCCTACTTCAGTCCTGTTTTAGACCTACTTCAGTCCTGCTTTAGACCTTCTTCAGTCCTGCTTTAGACCTACTTCAGTCCTGCTTTAGTCCTACTTCAGTCCTGCTTTAGACCTACTTCAGTCCTGCTTTAGACCTACTTCAGTCCTGCTTTAGACC